GTGTGTGTGTCCGTGTGTGTGAGTGTGTGTGTGTGTTTGTAAATGTCTTCACACACCCTTCCTCAGTTGTAGATTCCTTAAAATCAGGGCCACGGCCTTGTTCTGCATGACATCTGTCTCATCATTCTTTTACATATTCAATGTTTATGTAAATTCACTGCTCCTTTTTTGTAAAACGAGAAAAACTATGTATTTAAAACAATTATTCTGTTATTTTTGAATATTTAGCCTCTTGGAAGTCTCTCTCCGTAGCTTTATAACCCATGATGAAAGTCATTGGCAACAAAATTTAATTAAAACTCTATGGGCACTTTATTTTTTCTATCTGAGGTTCACATCCAAGCTCTGACACTGAGTAGTTAATCACAGTGCTTCCAATATCTGAATACATTTTTAAAGTAAAAGTAGAGGAAAAACCCTAGAGGATATTTTAAAATTTGATGAGCCAATGTTAATTAAAACTTCAGGGAAGTTTTCTCCCCTCTCAAGATCCTGTGTAAAACAACATAGGTACTCTCAGTATCCCTTGCTCCTTCTAGAGCCTTTAGAGAAAAACTGAGGATGGTATTATCAGTTGAAATTAATTTTAGCATTTGAAAACAAAATATAAATTTGTCTTATAAAATCTTTTCTGACTGGGTTACTCTGATTTACCTTGAGTGCCAGTGTTCTGGTCTATTTCTTGTTTAAGTGATGAATAGCCCGTGAAACACCATAGGGCAATGTTATTTTTAGTAGGTAGTAACAGTTAATAAAGCAGTTTACCATCTGAAACGAGGCAGTAAATGGCTATAACAGCAACAAAAGACATGATTTTCTTTTCAAAATGAAAAATAGTGAACCTATTAAAATGCTATGTGAACCAAATTTAGAATCAGAATATAAAATTGAAATGTTTCTATCTTCTCATGTCTCTTAATACCCTTTTGCTTTTGTACTCTCTTTTTCTTTTTCTTCTTCTTCTTTTTCCCCCTATTTTTATGTATTTTTTCTTTCCCTCCCTCCCTTTCTTACTTCCTTTATTTCTTAGGAGGAAAGTCAGAAATAAGCTTTGATGTGATATAATCATTTAGTTATTATTGGGGAGTGTCTTGCCACTGTTATGCAAAATTGAGATTTCAAAATATAAGGGTTCTTTTAAAATAACCCAAGATTTTAAAATGGAAAAGCAACACTGAACACAATAATTGTTTATCTTTTATCTAGTGGCATTTTCAACTTTCATATTTTCATTGCATTTATTTACTTATTCCTAGTGAAGGTTGAGATAATTGTGATCCCTTACTGATTTTTTTTTCAATTTGCGATTGAATTGATTTGTTTTTACAAGTGCTATCTGCTGGAAACTGTGCTAGTTACTGAGGATACTAGGGATACAACAGTTAAAAAAAATCACAACTCGCACCCCCAACCCCCAGCTCTTTGGTCATGGATATAGAATAAATTTAATAGTATAACACCATATATTCTAGGGGGAAACATCAAGTTACAGTGTAAGCAAGATCTTTATTTTTTCTTAATCCAGCACATTTATTGCAACATTTTACCATCTTATTTTCTTCTCTTAAAAATACATTTTACTGTATATTCAAGGTATACAAGATGATGTTGTGGGATCCATATAGAGAGTAAAAATGTTACTAGTCACGAAACAAGTTATCATACCCATCATCTCATCTAGTTATCAATTTATTTTTTATTTTTATGAAAGGGGCTGCTAAAATCTACTAATTTAGCAAGTTTCGCATATATTGAACAATTTCATTACTTACATGAGCTCTAGAGTTGACATGGGAGCCAAGATATGGGAAAAAAATTTAAGTGCCCATTGCTGGATGAATGGCTAAAGAAATTGTGGTATGTATGTATAATGGAATATTATTCAGTCCTAAAAAATTGGTTCTTGCCATTTGCTATAGCATGGATGGGCCAAGAGGACACTATTCTGAGTGGAATAAGCCAGATACATAAATAAAAATATTCCATGATCTCCTGCTTATATATAGAATCTAAAAATTTGTCATTTTTTTGTAATTAATATTATATACTTTTTTATATTTGAGAGGGACTATAGTAGTGATTTTCATAGGTGGGGAAGGGAAAATAGTGAAGCTATAGGTCAGAGGATACAAAGTAGCAGATATGTGGGCTGAGTAAATCTTGGAGTTTGAATATACAACCTGCTTTGTTCTTACAGGCTAATAAAGAGTCACTTAAGCAAGCAGACAGTGACCATACTGGATATATAGGTGTTAAAATTCATGAGTACTGAAGTCTGGGAAAACAACCCACTTTGGGAGAACCGCCCAAGGTACCTTAGAGAAAGTCTTCTAAGCTGAAATTTAAATTATGACTATGGACCTGGAGATTGGTTGGGGAGAGATCTCAGATATGAACTCTAGAGTATGCTTAGAGAACTGCCACAACAGCAGTCCAGTAACACATGGCAAAGCATAAGTCAGGATGAGACAAGGGTTGCACCTCAACAGGTAAGCCACCTCAACAGGTAACCCACACTGAAGAGTGTGACATTTGCACTGACTTCAGAGAGAGGTTACATGTGGGTGTGGATTCATGCTTTAGAATAATCACTCTACCTGAAGCATGGGAAGTGAGCTGTGGGTAGTAGAAATATCCAGCTTGGGGTATTGTGGAGATAAGAACTAATAGAACTTTAACTGAAACATACAATATATGAGACTTGGTGATCAATAGAATGGGTGAGACTAGTCCAGGAAAGAGATACTTCTGACTCAAGCAGTTGGACAAAGATACCATTTACTGGAATACAGAATAATAGCTGTTTGGTTGTGTCAGAGAAAGAAAGATGAGTTTCGTGATTGATTCTAGTCAACACGCCAATTAGGATGTGTGTCCGTGTGTGCACACACACACAGAAATAAGAGTATATCAGACTGCAGATAGAGACTTAGAAGACAACAGAAAATAAAAACTTCTTGAAATCAGAGAGTGAAGATAAAAGCCTATAAAAAAAGTATAATCCTAGCAGAGAGGGGGCCTTGACATGGAACTATAAGGGTAATCAACATTTAATGACAAGTGAAAAAAAGAGGTAGAGAAGGTGTTAATCAACATTCATTTTCCATACAGAGAGTTATGAAGAAGAGATATTTCTAAAAAGGGAATGGAACAGAACATGGGAATCCTAGATTATATGGACTAGAAAATTATAGACTCTCTTCCCTTCCAGAATCCTGGATGCTCACATTCTGAATATTTTCATGACTTTCCCCACTAGAATATAGGGAAAATCTACTTTTATAACATTTTAAAAAAATGCTCAGGTGTATTCTCTATCCCTGATCTGTGGTATTTTTTCCTTCTATGTTTGTCCAGCTGCTTCTTAGAGGCTTGTGGGCTATCTTTGGCTCTTGGCGTTATGTTATAGTGATTAAAATAATATACTTTAACACAATTGTGCCACACTTTCAATAAAATATATATAAAGAAATATTTTGAATGTTCAACTTCATAAAATATTATAATTATTAGTATTTTATACTTAATATTTCCATGCAAACTTCTGTACTGATCACTCTGAATATGCATCCTGGAGTGTGTGTTTGATTTGTAAAAGAAAATTAAAATGATCGGACAGATAAATGAGTATGTTGTAGAAGAAAGCTCTGTGCTCTGCAATGGGGTAGCTGAGCTCTACTTTCTAACACCAACTTACTGGGTTTTCTCACGCACATCCCATAATTTCCTTAGAACCAAATTATGTGATTTTATAAAACAAAATCCAATGTTCTTTCAATTTTAAAGATCTGTGGTTCTTAATTTGTGTCAAATAGCAAGGTGAGGTTCTAATCAATTAAAGAGAAAAACCATTTCATTCCCTCGAGCAATTCTGACAATGGCACCTGAGGTATTTGAATATATTTTAGTAACAATAAATTTCCAATTACACGAATGGGCTTAAGTGAGCACAGGGGTTAAGGGAGAACATTTCTATGTAATTTAGAATTTTATTATGGTTCTTTCCCACCGTCCCTCATTTATGTGCTTGCCCTTTGTTTTTAAATTTTTCTTTCAGGAGATAGCATGACCATAAAAGTTTAAATTGTTTAAACATGGCATACGTAGGGCAATAAACACCCATGTTTAGTTAGCTACAGAAATGGTGCAATTACTCAAGTTAAATATTTTCTAAAGTCACTCCTCTCAAAGAGTAAAGTAACTACCTGAGGAGTCATTTGTTAGATTTGCAGCTAGTTACCAACAGAATCCAGTCCCAAGAAGCAAATCTAGAAAACAAAGAAGGAAGAAAAGAAAAAGAATGTCTCCAATTATGGACTCACCTCTTACAACTGCCTGATCTTTGATACACAACACCCAGTAATGCTCTTTTCCCTGGCTACAATGTCAGCATTCCCAATGAATGGAGCTTTTTGTTTCTTTTGGATTTCCTGTGTTTTCATTTTTCCACTGGGTCAGCAAGGAACGGAAGCCTTTCGGTGTGGCAATGGCGTCTCCTTGCCACCTGACAATGTGTGTGACTTCACAAATCAGTGTGCGGACAATAGCGATGAGCAGCAATGTAAGTGTCATTCTCCTCTTTTCAATTTCAGTACATCTTCAACCAGGGAATTAGGAGCAGCCCAGGAGATTCAGCTAGATTCCTGGCTCTCCATTGGTTTTATGTTATATGCCTTTAGGTTCAGTTAAAAACTAAAGTATGTTGTTTAACAAAGACCTGGCCCATGCTTAAAAATTATTTTAATTAATATGAAATCACTAAGATTTTTAACTGCGTGGAATGTATTTTGTCAGTTTTTCCCTGACTGTAAAGAAGAAGCGATAAGCAAAAATGAAGATTTTAGTGCTAGATTAGTGAAGCAAAATTCAAAAGAAACTCATCAATGCGGTCATAAAATGCTATGATGGAAATTATGAGTTGAAATTTGAATTTATATGGAAACACTTGAAATGAATTTTAGCTTGGATGGGTAGATTTTATTTTCTTTTATAGACCACTACCTTCAAGTGAGTTGATATCAATTGAACCTGTAGCACATCTCTGGCTTGTGATTTTGATTTCAGTATAATGGAAAGAGGACAAACTTTAGGGAGTAGAGGATCTACATTTGAGTCCTAGGTGAACCATTCACTAATTCTCTGATGTTGAACCTGCATTTTATTATAAAAGATCCTAAAGTCAAAAAAACTCTCACAGGTGGGAAAATACTCCATTGCTTCCTGGAATAGCAGTAATGAACAGGAAACAGTTTACCAAAGGAAGATACGTTCTATGACATAGATGTGTCTGTGGTTTTCATTATAATATGAAACCTTGCAGGAACACTACATTTTGGCAAAATGGAGACTAGTGTCCTTCTTGCCCACAGTAGCCTTCTGTAAATGATGTTTTCGTAAAATCACCGCTTGGTAGTTGGTGGTTCCTATAGCTATTGATGCAATTAATTATCTGGTGTCACTAATTCTAATATTGTAGGTCACTTTGCTCAAACTTATATTTTTTATTTTTTTTATCTAGATAAAATATCAATCAGTGTTTAAAGAATTCTTCATTTTCTTCTACTAAAATAAGACTACAAATTCAATGTTGCTCTTATTTGTCTTCTATTTACATGTTTATCATTATTACATTAAAACAATAAATCAGGATTACTGAAGAATTTCTTCTCGCAGAAGAAAACAGGCTAATGATTTTTTTCCCCTATAGCTATCATGCTGTTCATATTTAGCAACTATTAAATACAAAGCACAACCAAGGACAGGATTCATTTGTATTTGTCAAATTTTGCCGGAGAGGCTAAATGTGGGTGTGCTGCCCCTTGCTCCAGTGTGTCTAGGAAAGCCCTTCCTGCTCCTTGGTGGGCAGCGAAGAGGAACCACCCAGTTGGTTTGACAAGAAGTGCAAAGCTTCTTCCATTATTAATCTCTATGAAGCTCCCTTTAGCACTCTTGCTGCGATAACATGCATGGTCTTGCTTCAGGGAAAAGGTTAATGTAAGGAAGGAGAAAGCTGCTGAGTGGGAAAGGTCTCCTCTGCATGAAAAATTCTAATAACTCTCAGCTTCAGAGGAAAGCAAAGGCGCGGATCTGTCAAATAAACACATTTCATTTTAAATGTTACATTGGGAGGTCACCTTTGGCTTTTTTGCTTTTCATTTCTTTTCCGAGAAGTTTCCACTTCGGCATTTTATTTAAAACATGGACAAGAACCTGTAGATAAAATGTAGAGTCACTTTAAACACTTTCTTTTGTATACCATGCTAGGGGGATAATGTGGTGAAGGAATAATGATGGCCAAGCAATTTCACCCATGAAAACCTGTGGCGCTAAGTTTATAGATTAGAGTTTTTAAAATCTAACTGTATAATGAGGTTAGAGTAGCTGCATTTAAAAGAAAAATAAAATCAATCTATGCTGCCTTTACAATGGTGTGACCTTTAAAGAAACAGATTAATATGTAAGACTTTTCTTAATAAAATTGGCATAGTTGAGGTTGCATTTCAATTGCAACAGATGCTATGAATAGGTTTTAAAAAATGTTCTTATTTGGCGGGATGGATTTCTTCTTAAGAATATATGAACCTGTTATTTTTAACTCATTATTTTTCCTTTAAGATATTAGGTAGAAAATGCAAATCTTCAAAATGGAATAAATTCTATTTACAGACAATATTAAAAATACTTAATATATAGTGAGCAAGAAGATTAAATTGTAATATAGCAATTGTTCAAATATAGTGTTGACAAGAATACCTCCTTATTAGAATTCATTGGCATCCTTGGCCAGGGATATTAATGTTGCAGTACTGGACTATGTATTGTTTTTTAAATCGTATTTCTAGTATTGCATGTTTTTTTTGCTTCCATGCTAATCCATACTGACTGCTTCTTTATTCTCTCCTTTTGCTATTATTGATGATGATGATGATGATGATGATGATGATGATTTTGATTCTAGGGATTGAACCCATTGGCAATTTACACAGAGATACATATCCAGCACTCTTATTTTTTATTTTGAGACAGGGTATCACTATATTGTAAAGTCTGGCTTCAAACTTGTGATCCTCCTGAGGCCTTGGCCTTTGGAGTGACTGGGATTATAGGTACGAGTCACCATGCCTGGCTGAATATTTTTTTTTTTAATTGAAAAATGTTGATTGCATATTGGACACACAGGGATGCTATGTGGATAAAATAAGTAATGATTAAATCATGAAAGGAAATATCCATCACCTCTGTTACTTATTTTTGGTGATGAGACATTTGAAATTTACTTTTTGTTATTTTGAAGTATATAATACATTGACTATATTCTCCCTGCTATGTAAGAAACCTCAAAAGTTATTCCTCTGTATTTCTGAAATTTTGTACCCTTTGATGACTAACTTCCCAGTCTGTCCCCACAGCCTCTGGTAATCACTGTTGTAATTTCTACTTCTATGAGTTCAACTTTTTTTAGATTCCACATATAAGTGACATCATGAGGTATTTTGTCTTTCTGTGCCTGAATTATTTCACTTGGTATAGTGTTCTCCAGATTTAACCAGGGTGTCACAAATGACACATTTTCCTCCTTTTTAAAGGTGGAATTATGTTCCATTGTGTATGCATACCAGTTTGTGTTTTGTTCATTCATCCACTGATGAACACTTAGATGAATTCCCTGTGTTGGTTATTATGTAGAATGCTGCAGTGAACTCGGGAGCACAGATATCCCTTCAACATACTGATTTCAGTTCCCCTGGATATACACCAAGTTGTATCACTGCTAGAACATATGGTAGTTGTATTTTTAGTTTTTTGAGGAATCCCCAAACTGATTATAAAAATGGCGGTACTAATTTACATTCTCATCAATAATGCACTCATTTTCCCTTGTCTCTGCATTCTTGCCAACATTCACATTTTTTTCTTTTTTTTTTTATAGCAGCCGTTCTAACAGGTGTGAGCTGATATTTCATTGTTGTTTTATTTTGCATTTCCCTAATGATTAGTGATGCTGAGCCTTTTTTCATATACTTGCTGACCATTCATTTCCTTTGGAGAAATGTCTGTTCAGATCCTTTGCCCAACTTTAAATTAGATTGTTTATATTTTTCTTTTTCTTTCTTTCTTTTTTTCCTGTTGCCATTGAGTTCTTTCAGTTCCTTATATATTTCAGATATTAACTCCTTGTCTGATGTGTACTTTGCAAATATTTTCTCCCTTTCTGTAGAGTGTCTCTTTACTTTGTTAATCACTTCTTTTGCTGTTCAGAAGGTTTCTAGTTGGATGGAATCCTGTTTGTCTATTTTTGCTTTTGTTGTATCATACTTTCAGAGTTATATCTAAAAACTCATCTTTATTATTTTTTTCTTCTCCTAACTTGGGGCTTCAGTTTGTTCTTCTTTTCCTAGTTCCTTAAGGTATAATGTTAGATTCGAAATCTGCTTTTTTTCATATAGGTGATTATCACTATGAATTTCTTCCCATTTAAGATTATTTTTTGTACTCCAAAACTTTTGTTCTGTAGTGATTACATTTTCATTTGTCTGGAGGTATTTTTTTTTTTAATTTCCTTTTTGATTTCTTCGGTGACCTATTGGATGTCCTGTCTTGGTCAAGGGACCTTGGTTTTGTGACCTATTAAAAGTGTGTTTCATTTTCACATATTTGTGAATTTTCCAAGATCTCACCTACTACTGATTTCTAGTTTCAGGCTTTGTTATTTGCTCTGATTTTAAATCCTCATAAATTTGATAAGATTTATTTTGTGGCCTAAACATTTTCTCCTGGAGAATATTCTATGTGAATTTGAGATTTTTCATAATCCTATGTCCTTGTTTTGGTGTCTGGACATTTTAGAATGCAGCCAGTTGTTCTTTGGTGATGCTAGACCTTTACTAACGATTCTAGCCTGAGTTTTTTTTTTTTTTTTTTTTTAAATTGAACTCAGGGGCATTTAACAACTGAGCCACATTCCCAGCCCATTTTTATATATTTTTTTATTTGAGAAAGGGTCTTTGATAAGTTTCTTAGGTCCTTGGTAAATTGCTGAGGCTGGTTTTAAACTTGTAATCCTCTTGCCTCAGGCTCCTGAGCCACTTGGGTTACTGGTGTGCACCTCCACTTCTGGATAGCCTAGGATTTTGGTAATGATCTGGGACAGACAAGCTCTGGGGTCTGGTTCTCTAGTTGGGCTGGAACACTGTCTGTGCTCTGAGGTCAAGCGGAACTGCTGGTTTTGCTTTGTGGTCCAGTAAGACGACTGGCTGGACTACGTATCAGGCAGAGCTGCTGACTAGCCCTTCAATGACCTCTGATAGAGTAGGATCTTCTCTGGCTGTGTAGTACTGTTGTTTGGAAACTGTAGTGGGGCAAAGTGCTACATGTTGACTATGAGGCTGGATGAGGCCTCCAGGGTCTCTACTAAGCCACCTAGGGTGCACAAGGTTACCCTCTCTCCATAAATATGCACAGATTTGGCTGGCCTCCATTCCTTGAGAGGCTGAAGCAGAGCATTGTGGCTTGGTTGAATCACTGGGTGGCTGCTGGGATAAGGAAGGGCCAGATTCTCTC